CCAAAGGTTCTGAGTTCAAATCCCACAACCAGCATCCTCAGGTTTAAAGCTTTTTAAATTGAACTCCTGCAGATCATTGATGCACCAACAGCCATGGTACTAACCCACTGGACTACCTGCCAGCTCTCATGTAGAGCTTTAACTAACCTAAGTTTAGTCATTTACCTGAGTGGAAGAGAAGAAATGTTTAAAAACTGTTACCAGACTTGGTGGGATTTGAACTCCTGATCTTCTGCACCAAAGTCCAGTGACTTCACCACCAGACTAACTCCCAACTCTCATGTTGAGTTGGAACTTACACAAGTCTGAACAACTGGAGCAAAATTGAAGAAATTCATTAGATAAAAGTGCAGTTACCTATATGTTGGACACAGGCGCTCCCATCCATCCAAATGAGTGCAGCTGAAAGATCTGACTGTCAAACAGGAAGTGGAAGAATTCAAAGAAAATGTTTTAGAGCAGAAAGCTAAGTCAAAAACACTCAGTTCACYTAAACTACTACGGCTACAGTGTCATACTTTTTTTTTTGTGAAGATTTTTAGCCTTTTTACTATTGGAAATGTTGCAGGTTGTAATCTACCAAAAATGTTCGTAAAAAACTTGATTCTGTTTGGAAAAGATGTAAATCAACTCCTGCTTATTCTTTAAGTTTGTTTTTTTTTTGACACAACTCAAAAAGAAGATAAAGAAGAATCATCAGAGCAGAGCTACACACAGAGTTATAATAGTTTTGGGTTTGTTTCATTATAGTTTAGTTTTATTTCGTTTTGACTTTTGGTTTGTCCGATTTAGTTAGTTTTAATTAGTTAGTGTTCAGTTTTAGTTTTTATTAGTTTTAGTAGTCRTTTTAGTTTAGTTATACTTTGTTTATTTTTAGTTGCAGAATTCAAAAAGGTCAAAGTATTCTATTGTGATAAATTAATTAGATAATGAATACTCGACAGAAGATGCCATTTAAAGAAAAATGTTTTCAATTACTGTTGAATAAACAATTGTTCATGACAGTCAACAGGATAACATCCTAAAGTGCAAAATGTATGTACAGTGGGGAAAATAAGTATTTAGTCAGTCACCAATTGTGCAAGTTCTCCCACTTAAAAAGATGAGAGAGGCCTGTAATTGACATCATAGGTAGACGAGAGACAAAATGTGAAAAAAAATTTGAGAAAATCATTTTGTCTGACTTTTAAAG